AATTCAAAAGAAGCTGGAGTCTTTGGAGTTGCTCCACCACGTGAGGCATCAGGGGATGGCAGGTCCTAGGATGTCCCAAAAGGCATTTGAGAACCCCAAGAAGTCTACGACATATGTGAAAGATTAATTGTTATATAGCCGGGAATCTGCTGGAATTGTTTCTTGGTCAGCAGAGGCTGCAGGTGCAGGTGGCAGATCTGGCACTGCTGGTGCCACTGGCTCTGACACCTGACAACAGCAAACCTGTGTGCATATATTTATACCCATGTGCAAAACATATGTCTATATATATTAGGATATATACCTTATATATACTATATATATGAGTTTACCCCTATATAGATATGGATCCACCATTCCAAGATCGATATTCCAAGACACCTTACGCGTCTCCTTGGGCGATGCAGGTGGCTCTTTCTTGACAGCCTTCAAGCAGTCAGGAACCTCAGATTGCCGATGCTAAGCAGGTCACGTTATAAATCTTTGCAATCATTATACTGAGTCTATAAAACATATATATAAATCTCGAACAATCTCGACCTCTTTGGGGGGGAAATGACGGCAAAGCCAAGAAACGGTGTTCTTTTGTCCCACAGCCTCCAAGAGCAGTTTTGTCACCTGGTCCAATTGGGTATATAATAAACGGACGAGGTATATGGTATTATATCTATATAGATTATATATTAGGTGCAGGTTCGTTCAGAAAATATACATATTTAGAATTCTTTTGAAATCCAACATGGACTGGGATAGAGGAAACCATGTTTTCCAAACCTGGCCTCCAAATAGTCTTGGGTTTTCAAAGAAAGCCCAGCTGCTTGGGCAGCCCGAGACACACCTTCCTCTAGGGTTGTGCAAGACCAACCGTTTGAGGGAAGGGACGACACCATTGAGTCACAAGACATAATTGGGAGTCAGATAACCCCATGCAGCGTCGCACTATATACCAAATGGCTGAGACATGATCAAGTTACCACATTCAGAAGTTCCAGTGATAAAAAATGTGAAGAAATTGAGTTCTGATTCTCATGGACAGCAATGTTCCACAGCATCATGTTGCTAATCTCACTTTTCTCAAAGATCTGTATAGTCATCATGGGTCAGACCACGACGTTCCATGCAAAACTAATCAGGTCTTCAGCTGAACACCCCAATCGACCCTATTTTTTTGAAATGGGTTTGACAATTCTTTCAAAAATTGATCTGGATATCTGTTTTTTTGAGAATTTCTGAATTATCCCAAAAAATGCCTAAAAAATGTTAGTTTTTTACGTAATTTTTATGTAATATTTGCACATCTCGAACGTAATTGAACGTCTTTTGTATGTAATCTGAACGTAATTCGAACGCTTTATGGATATTCATGTCCCCAGAACGGTTTTTCACGTCCTTTTACACATCTCAAGATTTGTGTAATTTTGTGTAATTTTGAGGTGCTGGCTGGGAATTTAAGGTTTCCTATAATATTTGCTTGTAGGTTATACCGTTTTCGATCTTTGCTTGCAAATTTTATCTGTGAAACCATGGAAACATATGGAACCCGTTGGAAACCACACGGAATCAGGTAAAATGTAAAAGACTATTGGTCCATTTGCAAAGAAAATATGGGAACACCATTGCGCCATTGAATTTTAAGATTGGGGTGTTGAATTTGTAGCTACCTGCAAGAAAAAAAGGTCCCTTCAGTGGCTGGAAGCACTGGAAGCCTCATTTTTTTGAAGCCGTTGCTGTTCTAGCTTGTGTAGAATCTCCAGTGCTTCCGGAAAGGCAGCACGCCACTCTTCAGGGATATGCAAATATTTGTACCCTCGAAGATATTTCAAGGATGGTAACAAATGAGCTTCATCCCAAGTGCTGCATGGTGCTGCTGCAAACACAGCTGGTCCCGTCAAATCATCATCAACCTGTGGGGCACCCTCTCCACCAGTAACGAGGTTGGGGTACAGGGTCCGGATGCGTTTGGCAAATCCTTCTGGGTAAATCCTCAGTGGCCAGAAAGGGTGGTAACATGTGGTATTTCCTATATATACATATAAAACAAATTAACACAGGGCTATGCAGTTGGTTAAATGCACATTTGCAGGTTGCACCATCACCAAAATTGAATATACTCAAATTGTGATGGTTGAGTTTTTTCGATCACAGTCATAAACACCAATGGACACAATTTAAGGTGAGCACTGTGTGTTCTTCAATTGCGGAGTCCCACTGTAAGATGCTTTTCCAGTTTTCTTGCTGATGGATTTCTTGACTGTGACCGCAGAAGAACCATCACTTTTCTCCAACCATGGTTTGCCCTTGCATGGTCCCACATCCAATCTGGAAAACTCCCGATTGTTTGTCCATCCGCGCTGTGGCTTGAGTGAGGTTGCGCCTTCATAGGCCCCCATTTGCCACCGGAAGGTGAACACCTGAGATGCAGCGGTGGCTGTCTGGGAATTGATCAGATATATACTGTTGTCAAGATATGGATATATACAGTACATATTATTTTAAGATATAAGGGATCCATTGTATATATATAGAGTCACGTATCATCAAGTCTGTTTTGGATTGAAACTGGAAGAAATGATCATGAGAAAAAACACCTCCAGTAAGTTGAGATTCAAATTGATCACTTGGGTCACTTTCATCAAATCAGCTGGGTAACTTTGATTTGTCGGCAAAACCATTGCATACGAAAATATTCTCCCATGATAGAAGAGCGGGGTTGCTCAAGCAGCCAACTTCCTCCACATGCTGTGATAAGTCCCATCAGCAAAACGCACCTGGGTGATTTTGAGTCGTTTGGCTGGAACAAAGTTGTAAAGTTGGCTCATTTTATAAGGGGCAACCAAACACACCAAAAAGTGTATATATCATTGCATGGTCAAGGAACCTTGACATCATCATGTTAGCCTTTCTGATGTACAACTTTGACTCGTCCCCTTCTGGAATCAACAGTGTCCGACAGCTTGTGAACATATTCATGTGCACCCAAGAACTGCAAACTGTTGCAAAGACAGATGCGAAAGAGTCCATTTTGCAGGACAAGATGAGGTGGATATAGAGCCTCATTTGATGTCAGAAATTTGGGAGGAAGATTGTATATATATATATATAAGTTTCGGTTTGTTCTTCATTGCTCAATTATCACATTTAAAATGAAAATCAGCCTCATAACATCGATCATAAAACTGAGAGTGGAACCCCATTCCTGCATCTGAGAGTATATCAAAAGCATTTTGGCGACCATCTTCACTGCACATGTAGGCTACATCAATTCCTATTGTCTTCACGGAGTCAGCTTGAAGTGCCCGCCAAACCCTGCCACGACCAGCGAAAAACTCCAGAAATGTCAACTCCTGCAGGCAATGATGATGGATGGATGATGTTGCAGGAGGCCCTGGGTGGCATGGGCATTCAGCAATTGGGTATATATATATATATTTAATAAATTCAAAACGACCATCACCATATATAATATATAATATAACACATGGGATCATATATACATGTAATCGAGTCCTATTCAGTGAAACTCGTCGTTATTTGCATGAGCACAGTCCTCATCAAATGAAGGTAACTTGTATGAAAAGGCCACCAGGATGACCATGTACAGGAATATCTCAGCTGAAAATGGCTCAACCTAAAAATAAAGAGGAGCTGACCAACAGAATCAAAAGCTTTGTCAAGTCTTGGTTTGATGATTTGCAATGTGGCCAAGTAACCTTGGGAAATCCCATCTTTGCGAGACGCTTCACCACCAACGAAATGTTTTCCCGTCCAGTCACCATTGCAGTCGATTGCAATCCCGGACCAGCCCACACAACAGAAAAAGTGAAAACACAACAGGGCCCGTTGATATGCACATGGCATGAATGGGCACAATGATTTTAAGCTGTGTTCACATGTTCTGATTGAGATATATAGTGTGTTCATGTTTTTGTATATGCATTTTTTTTGCCATAATTATTTGTCTGCTTGCTAGTGGCTGGCATGGGATCAACGATGCATATATAGGAATGCAACACCACAGTACCAACACTGCAAAACGATGATTCATGAAGGCTTGCTCCATATGTTTGGAATGATTTCAAACCCCATGGCACAACATGTTGATAAAATACCGGGAGTAAGCGAGCCACAGTGGCCTTTAAAGAATTTCGGGTTGTTTGCGCCATATCTGAGAGCATTCCCAGTTCCCTTTGCGATCTTCCGGACCTTGCGCCGAGGCATGATGCAGCTGCAGCACCTGGCAGCGAGGACGGAGTTCCAGGGTGAAACAGGGCACTTTAGGTTTGGACACTTTAGGGTAATGAGGCCAATGGTTGAGGTATATATCTCTCTATACCTATATATATATATATTTAGGATCAATATAGATCTATATTACATATTCCTAAATTGTTGGAATCCTGCCTCATGGATCTTAAGTAGACCACAAAGTGACACTATATACCCAAACACTGCAAGACTTTTTCAATCTGATTTGACCACCCCTGCAGAATTGAAATCAATTTGGCAATTTGGACTGGTGATCCAGTGCTATAGCTCCACTTGGGATCGTTCGATGTGCACAATGTGCAACTGCTGCAGCGAAGCCCAATTTCATATGCACACAACGACTTGGCTCCCTGACCCGATGCACTTTCAAATGGTTCAATGTATATACTCTATATATGAAACATGATTATTGCAGTTCCTTGGTCAACAAGAGTGATATACACCAGAATGAACCATAGATTGGTTGTGCTCTCTGAGTTCTACGGGAATCAAACGTTGTCAACGCACAGATGGGCACACAGCCCCCCAAAAACCACTCATATAGCAAATCATGGCTCCTGGCCACCTTGAGTTTCTAAATCCAAAGTGTATATATAGAATGCTGAAACAGCAAAGACAAAATTTGGATTGACTTATATATATATATATGTATATATATAATCTTCTTTTTTATATATAAGATTTCATTTCATCACGCCATGATCGAGTGGCCATGAATGGATATACAGGCTTGGCTAGTCAACTCTCTGGTCCTCAGTGGCCATATGCAGCAGCCCTTCATTGCCCTGCACAGCAGCTTCATGCGAAACCTTCAGGACTGCCACATAGCGAGCCATGTTTTCACAGCAAGGATCAGGCCGGTTCTGCTCCTCCCAACGTTTGACCTGGGCATGCAGCAAGGGAAGGGATTTGCTGTTACCTTTGAGACGGGATATATTTGTTGTTTTTTGGGAAACCAATTTATTGTGGATACGAAAGATTAACATATATAACGATTAAACATTGGAGGCCCATATTTTTTGATGATGTACATGCAAAAGTAAATGTCCAACATGACAGTATAATTCATTCCATGAACAAATCTTGCTTGCAATCTAGAAACCCACAAATCACCAAGAAGGACATTGGTGTATGGGCATGGGGTACATCCGGAAAAATAAGCCACGTGGGCTTTCCCTTTTCCCTGGGCTTTCTTGCTCTCGAAGAAGCGGCGATCCGCTTTGATTCCACATGCCTTACGATCCCAATAGAAGTCAAAGTCAATCATGGTATTCTTGTTCTTCTTGGGGTTCGTGTATGATGGGTGCGTGCAGTGTGTCTCCGCGCACTCCTTGAGAATCCAATCGACCTTACTCTTCACCTCAGGATCCACTGGCACATCTCTAAACTGAGCTGGCAGTCTCAGCTTAGAGCTTGTCTTGGGTTTCTTCTGTTTGGTCTCCCGCTCTGTCTTCTTGGCTTTTCCTGACGACCCTTTGCTGGCCTTGGACTTGCTTTCCTTTTTGCCATCCGTATCTTTCTTGCCCTTGGTCTTGTTCTTCTCTCCCACATCTTTCTTGGGCTTGCTCTTTGCCTTTGCTGCGGTCTTCCTGGTGGCCTTTGGTGCAGCTGCAGCCTCATTCTCATCCTTGCCTTTTTCTTCCTGATCCTCCACCATCCCAGACTCTGCATCCTTTCCCAGCTCCTCCATAGATACCTTCACAGCATCAGCATCATCTCCTCCCTCAACCTGCTGTTTCACCTGCTTTCTTTTCTTGCTCTTGGTCTTCTCTGGAGCCCCAAGGTTTCCATCATTTGCTGCAATCTTTTTTCGTGGTGACATCTTCAGGAGTCGCTTCATACTGCGGCTCTTGGGACTTCGACGGGCCGCAGACCCAGAAGCTTTCTCATGACATTGATCACCTGAATCAGATTGCTTGGATGCTTTTGCTGTCGAAGCTTGCTTTTGAACTTTCTTTTCTGGCATGGTGTTTTTGCCTCTCCAACCTGTTTAGGTTTCCTTCCACGTTTCTTGGGCTGAGCTTCATTCTTCTCCTTTTTCTTCTGTTCCCTCAATTTTTTCCTCTCTTCCTTGGCCTTCTTCTTTTCTTCGTTCTCTTTTTTCTTCTCTTGTTTTTTTCTTTCTTCTGATCAGCTACATCCCTCTTCATTCTGAATTGCTTTCTCCTGGTGATGACCTCGTGGTCCGGTACGGTCATTCCATCGCTTCCAGTGCTCTCCACCTGTGGGCGTGGAAAACTTCAAGTTTCTGGGAAACACAATATCGAAACTGGATGGTGGTATATTGATAAAAACTTGTATGAGCAAAAAATTGACTCCAAAATTTGAACAGCTCATTGGTTTTACATGCACCCTGTACCTGTTGTTGTGCAGCTTGATCATGGTTATCCAAGCTTTTCAACGTTCCTTGGGAAACATCGGTGTTGAGCATCTGCGATGGAGAATAAGGAACCAGAGTATCATCTTGGGAGCCAGCAAAAATTGGTGGAAGTAGGGAATCTGACAAGATCATCACCGCTTGGTCCGTTGTCACTGAACCTGCTTGATTTCATCTCCATGTGATCTTTAAATTTGATTCTATATACATATATGCATGACTATATGACTCTATATTGAAATTTCACTTGGTGGTGATAAACTCCATGGCCAAATCTGGTCCGTCACCCACTTGAAGAAACCGTGATTCGATGGAAAACAAATATACACACAAAGCAGTAAAAACACAAGATTAATTACAAAGTTTGTATATAGTTCATTCATATATAATATAGATAAGGAGCCTCCAGTCTCACCAACATTGGGCGCCACACTTTGATCGCCTTCTTGTTGCCCGCCAGGCTGGTCAGATCCACCAGAAGATTGCACTGTCCTCAGTGGAGCAGGGGCCTAGTCGATGCTGTGCGAAGGGGGTTAGATTGGATTTGCATGATAAACATTTGAACTTATATATTTTTTCACCGGGGGTTCCAAACTGAGTCCAAACGATAACATCTTACATCAGCTGAATCCCAAAGTCATGGCTTCCTTGGCTTGACTCTGTTGGTACTTCTTGAGCACATCAATCATGAGGGATTGAAGATCAGCTGGAAGCTTTTCAGGCAATTGCAACAGATTCCTTCAGGGATGGTTCATGTATATATGAAGCTCTATACTGGTATAGATGGATATATGGATGTATATGGATGGATATATGGATGTATATGGATGGATATATGGACGTATAAATGGATATATATGGTATAGGGGCATATTGGATGCCATGCTGCTATTTTAAAAAAAATGTTTGTGCCATTTTTAGCGACCAGCTGAGCATTGCGGTTACAAACCCTAGTCCTTGAAACCCGAAGCTGGATCATGACCTGGTGCCTGAAGGGTTGGGGTTGCCCGACATGGTGTAGCAATCACCTTCTTAACCTCGGCATCCTTCTTGGGTGACTCCGTCCCAGGCTGCGACGACTGGCCTGCCTTGTGCCCCAGCGGGCTTGGGACCTGTGGTTCCTTTGGGCCTGGAAGTGGAACTGGAGTAAGGTTGGTTTCAAGGTCACCCATCAACATTTCCAAAGTATCCATAGGCTTCTGGGATTCTTCAAGCAAGGGTTGGCCTGGAAGATCTACCTGGCTATCCTCCAGTGGCAACGAATCGTCTTGACTGTCACCATCACCAGCACGTGGGTTCCAATCCTCACGGCAAATTGGGAGAGAGAATTGCGCTGTGATATATGGTGATGATTTATATATATAACTTAATGGGGCCATAGCAAAGGTGAAATGGCGATATCGCTCGAGTGTTGCCTTGTTATTTAAGATGTATATAGGCCATTTTTTTTACCCAAAATTTCTCCATGCCAAACACTGGCCAGACCACTATGTAATATGCAAAAATACGCAGTTCTTCATTGACTCACTTCAAATCTGAAACATGTTTTGTTTGGTTTGGGGATATATATATATAATATATACAAAGGATTGCAGACACTTGTATATAGGTTCAACATGGTTCAACTAAAGAGTCCTACTTCAAATCAGGAAAGTTCTGTACAATCCATTCATGCTTGGCTGTTTGATGAGCACCCACTCGTTCAATTGTACTGTAAATGTAAGACCCCATGTATGGTTCACGCATAAATGCATGATTTTTATTCTACACAAAATCCAGGCCCACACCACCCGTGGACACCTTGCAATCATAGCCCATAGCTTCGACAAGGCCTTGCAGAATGGAATCCTGCGACGCGGCTGAAGGACTCTCCTTGAAGGGAAACACATGGTATGGATTTTGGAGAATTAAGCTCCCTATGGATTGTGATGTAAATATATATGATATATATACCTGTTGCACCTAATAGATATGAATTCCTTTCCAGAATCTATAGATAGCAATCTTTTAGCCTTTGGTATACTTTCCACCTTATAGATATATATCATAAGATTTGGAAAACAATCTTTTAGGCTACATGGCCCATCATGGTCCTGCGGGGCATAGCTTCGATATGTGATTTTCTTGGTTTTTCCGATGAGACGTCTGATCGCCCACGCTTCCTGGTACACCAAAGATGGGGATCTCACCACTTTGCATACTTGGTAGAACGCCTCGATTGTTTCTTGGAGACCTTGAATGGTAGGAATCTGAAGGTTGTTGTCAGCCATCAATCGAAGGATTGGTAAGAGTACCTCATCATTAGTTCTGCAATTGTCAATTGTGGCCTCCACAAATCCGCATTCCTCCCCATCAGTTTCGTAGTTCCACCTCATCAGTAAGTTTGCATTACTGCGGATGCGATCCCGGATCTTTGCGGAGTTGTCCCATGCTTCAGCAATGGGCCCTAAATCGAAATTGCCCACAACAGGTGAGTTCCAAAGGCCCCTTAGGGATGGTTTGACCTCTTCCATTCCCGTTTTCCACTTCCAGCTTGGTTTCAGTGTTGACCATCCAGAGCCAAAAGTGAGCTGCGCAGGATGTGCGGAAGAATGACATGGATCTGAGTTGGGCCATGGAGCTATAGGCCATGCAATTGTCAATACATTGATTGATCCAAGTCATATATATATAATTGAATTTAAGCTGTGATGATTCAAGACTGCATGGCACAATGCTCAAATTCCCCGAGATTTTGGCATCAGCGGATACATGCAATCCAATGCAAGTTTGATGTTGATTTGTTTCACTTGTATTATATATACAATTTCATATAGGGAATGCATCTGAACTATACCCTATCATAACAAATCATGAACGCAGTTTATCCTTCAATTTTGAAACCAGGATTTGTTTTTGTTACAGGCAGGCAACCTGTTTCTATGTATGAAGATTACTGCACAAAAACCAGTATGCATGTCGACTGGTTCACTTGACAAATTGATATAACCATTTAGGTTTGAAATTTGTGTCCTAAGACCAAGATCCTGGGAGCTGCAAACGAGCCGGGTTTACTGATCCAGTCAGTGCATGGTGTCTTCTTGCCATTCCACTCACCATTGCACACAGCAACGGGACCCCAAGTGAATTAAGGAGTAAGGGCTCCAAGTTTGATGTTGCATCATTCTTTTGCACGTTATCCTTTTTGAAGGGGATACAGAATATGTTTGGTTCATGGATAGGGGGACGAATCTTGGTTTTGATTGATGATATTTGATGATGAATTAATCGGTATGTAATATGAGTGCATGTGAAGGTTTTAAGCATGCAATATATGTTTTGTCCAATGGGAGAGTCTAAAGATTGGATCCGGAACTCATCCATACACCGCTTTGAGATGGCTGAGCCATGCTTGAAGAAAAACATGGCAATGTGGTGCCTGAAGGTTGGTCTGGTGAACCCTGCTGGGATTGTGTATGCTGGATTGGGTTGAACAATTCAGGTTAATTTGGGATAATTTGGGAACATCTGCGATTCTTGTGGGAAACATGTTCTCCAAAGTGTATATGAGTTTACTGTCCCTTTATTTGGAATATTGTTCTTGAAACTCTTCATGGTGCTATATACATCTAAACCCACAATTATGCATGAATATGAATATACCTATACACAAATTGATATATGTTAAACATGCCATAAAACACAGTAAAAAGTTCATTACGGTAAATCACGTCCCGGACAGGAATTCCAATTCCAAAGGCTAAAAGATTGCTATCTAGATTCTGGAAAGGAATTCATATCTATTAGGTGCAGCAGGTACCTACCCCTCTGAAAAATATGAAAGTCAGTTGATGTCAGTTGGGATGATGACATTCCCAATATATGGAAAAACATCTTCCAAACCACCAACCAGCCACTCAACCATACTAAACCAATGGATTCATACCACATTTCATTTCGCCTGATGGCGGTTGTCGAGCAAAAGCTAAGCTTACGAAACTCCAGAGGACTGCCATGTGCCGCAGGAAACAGGGTCCATTGGACCAGCAGCTGCAGTGATGTGTTTCAGCTGGATGTCTTTTAGATAACCTCGCAAAAAATGTCATGTTCAATTTACCAGAGAATTTTGGTAGGAATTTACTTTTCCTATCTCGTTGGAGGTTACTTGGATCCTGGAAATGGTTGAAGGATGTTGAAGGGACAAGAACTGCAGGGAACCCCCTTGAACTACGAGCCAAACAAAAACATGGTTTCCCGTGATGTTTTTTAGCAAAACCAATTCGTTGAGAGGCTTGTTGACTTGGAGATCTGGGCGTGGCCCAGCAGGGGGGCCACAACAGCAAAACTCTTCGAGCATCCATGTTGTGCTGGAACATGCTGAAACCCGCACGCAACATAACTATCTTGAAATGAATTCGGTATTTGGGTCTGAAATATGAATCCATATTGATATCCACGCTGCTTCTGGCGTATGGCAATTCAATGGACTCCATCTTTGTTTGATGCATCGCGATGCTCTTCGGCCAAGTGTATGTCCGATGCCTTTTGTTACATCTTCATGTTTTTATTGTGTTTCTACTAGTGTTTCTTGTAAAGGAAATTATATACATGTAGATAAATTATGATAAATGTCTGAAACCACCAGCCACCCTCTGGCAGTGTCCTTTTTCTCCTTTCGTTTCCGAGCCTTTTGGTTATGACAAACATCGACATTATTTTGTGCGTGCGAAAACGGAGCGGAAACTTCAATCCGGAAGGCCCAGGTTCAGAATGGTTTCTGTGATCTAATCTCATGGTTGTATTAACCAGCGCACAAAAACAAGTATTTTTTAGTTTTTTTACCAAACATAGTGGTAATTAATGAATAGTGAATAGTGGCTATGGGATAATATGTGTGCAGTTGAAAATCAGCAAATAGCAGTGTAAGTGGGAACATGATGATAAGCCATAGGGTTTTCGGGATATTCCTTGTTCAAACAAACCAATAATATTGAGCTGGGCGTAGTATGAGTAGAGATTGCTGGAGCGCCCAACCAAAAGAAAGACTGGCCAGTCTAAGTGTGAGTAAGTGTGAGCTGTTCATATTTGGACGTGTAAAGGTTGGTCGACATGGCAAAATGTAGAAAGTTCAAAGTGAAGGCATAGCAAACCAACAACAACCAGTAGTTTTGCAGCAAAGCTTAAGACATAGTTTTGCATCAACACACCATTCCATATAGATTGGTTTCAGATGGTTTTACCGCGATGCCTTTGTCGATAGAGCCTAGAGATTCGAAACCACTTACGCATTATCCAATTTTCCTAAATGTTCCTATGATTTCTTCTAAGCCACCTATAAATTCTCCAATTTCCCTTGATTTTGGCGATCGGTATGGTATACCCAAAACGAGCGGCTGATAAAACCTCTGAAGAAACGGAGATGTGGAGTGTCTCAGAACACAACAAGACCCCGTCAAATAGGAAAGTCAATACCCTCTGGTAATTTAACATAACTATGGAAAATCACCATAGAATTAGTGAAATTTCCCATGAATAGCATGGTGGATCTTTCCAGTTCGTTATGTAACAAATTACCAGAGGGTAATCCAATCCCCTGATATCCCCTGAATTTTCGAAAAAAGGCGAGGGATATATTTTGTGGGGTTGGAATAGATTTCATCCCCATCGCTCTAATGCTTTTTACACCGGAGAAAAAACCCATTGTATGGTCCCAAACTGTGATTTCACCCCCTACTAAACATTACTAAACCATAGTTTCGTTGATGTTTATATGAACGGATGGGGCCTGCGATTACTTGCTAGTTGCTGCTAGTTGAGCCATTTGGGATCATGGAAACCCACATGGAAAATAGCATATGATAAAGATACGTCAAAGCAC